CGTCTTGTATCAATGCGAGCGATATTTGGTGGTATCGGTCCCGATATAGCTGAAAATAAAGTAGTTCCAGCGTTCCAAAATATTGAAGCGTATCAGCTGTTTTCAGGTAAGAAAGTTTAATGCTTTTAAAAAGATTCTTTCATAATAAAATTTTTTTTGAGGAGAAGCCTATGCAGGTGACTGTAGTACAAGAGATTTATAACACATCATACAAAGAAGAAAATTTTTTTCCAGATCTACTTCATGTTCAAGCAGCCCCGAACAATGGTACTCCGGGTCGTTTGTATTCTTTCCTCAAAAAGCCACCAGTGTATAACGAAACGGTTGCAGAAATTAAGCATCAGAGTTGTTTGTCGCATGTGCAGATAAAACAGTGTTCAAAAAACTGTCCAGTGGGTTTTTTTTGCTTGAGCTACAGTTTTTGTTTTGGTTAAAGTTTAGCATAAAAAGTTGAAAGAAGATTTGCAGTCGATGACCGGTATGACAGATAACTGTAATGCAGAGCAGCCGTCTGTTCAGTATGAGAGTTCGAACGGTGCTGAATGTATTTTACAGCTTTGTGATGCCGTTATACATTACAACAAAGCGTTGAAAATGATTCAGATGATTGAAACAACTCTGACAGCAGACGACTGGAAAGATACCAAGTAATGTATACTGATCAATTTTAATAGAACTTCTAACAGTTTAAAGTTAAGATTAAAAATATGTTTATAAATTTTTTGTAGGTTTTAAATTTGTGAATTTTTTTAGTTTTTTTAAATTTAAATTTTTTAAACACATATTTCTTTTTTTATCTGTAGCTTTTTTTTTGCAAGTCAAATAACCGTACCTAAAGACTTCTTTTTTTAATCTCACTTCAATTTGTTGAACAAATCTGTAACTGTATCGAGAAAAATTTTAAAAAAATAAACTTTGGCATTTTTTTTAGCTCAAATTGCCAATCAGTCATATCAAACTTAACAACTTGTTCAGAAACACCATCTTCAGATTCTTCTTCCATATCATTGTTTTTACAAAAAGGTTTGCTGTTAATGCAGTTATTTTAATAAACACCTTAAAAGCTTGCTTTATTTTTTTTAAAATACCTTACAAATGAATAGTTTTTGGTTGTTTTCCCAAGATTTTTTTTGTATTTCAGAACTGTATAATACATTAACGTTGGCAAAAATAAAAGTACCTGCTGGATTTAAAAACGGTTGGTAA